CTAGTGCGTTACATGTTCTTTTGTTTATATCTACACCCAACTTCATTGAAGTAAGTTTTATACTGACAGATTTGTTAATATATTATCCTTGAGAAGCAATCCACTTTCAGAAACAATTTCATAGTTTTTCCATAGTCTGCCTTAAGTTAGGATCAACAATGCTTCCAGAATATAAAGGTATTTAATCTATTCGTGCTTTAAATCAACTCGACAAACCACACTGGTGCTGTGTTATCACATGCATCAACGTATTGATTTTTTATGGAATATACTGCTACTCTGGATTATAAATTAGAGCCTGATCGTGCATACCTTCAATGTGATTTTACTACGAATCCCAGTCTCCATATACAAAAGTTGGGTGGTAATCACTCTATAGAATGATATGAAGTTTCAATTTTAATTTTCCCTTAGTAACAAATTCAGCAGATAATTAGTTACTTTTTTTTTCAATAGATTATGTCAAAGTGTATTCTAACCCGAATTACCAGAAGTTAAGGAGCTACATTTTTAATACACTGACACTAATATTGTAATCAGTTGCATGTGAGCAAATTATACAATTGGAGTATTTAGTTTCATAGCAGAGGAAAATCATGATTTCTCGGTATAACGGCTCCATGTGGCAGAAACATGGGTTTGGAGCATTAGAACTCTTGAGTTCGAGAAGACAAGTAGCTAGAAAGACCATGTAAATAATGAGTAAAAGAGTAGACAAGGAAACAAATTTATTAGAGGTAAGAGAAAAAAAACTTATTAACTGGAAGTCATAGAAAGGAAGAAACACAAAAGAGAATAGCAGTGACACCCACATGTGCAACCATATCAAAGGCTGAACGGCAGGAGGTGCAATTCACCTGATGCCTGTGCCCAGCACCCAGAAACATGCAGTGTATTGATCATCTTGGGGTAGTGTGATAAGTCCACAGCAGTGTTGCAATGTGGGAATGTTTACTATTTAACAATTATATATTAAACTACAATACAAATTCCACATCCTGGTAAGAAAAATAATTTCTGGCTAAAAAATTGAATTTTTGCAGAATGCAAATTTGGTGAGAGCAGTATACATGAAAGGTAGGAAAAATAGAGTCCTTTTCATAAATTAGGAGAGCGTTTCAAATCTGGACTGATCTTTATTCCAATCTGATATGTGTAATGCTTTATAAAACCTGGTATTCTGAAAATGGATTTATCCCCTTTATTTCTCTTACCATCATATTTGAATATTCTTCACATATTAAGTACTATGAAGCAGAATTCAAATCAAAGGGTGGAAAGTTTGAACTTTTGAAACCTCAAGTACAATCGTCTTAACAATCTGCAGCCAATCAGCAAATCATTTTAAACTTCAGCTGCTCTAAATTACAAATTTATATATCTCAGTTTGGGAAAGAAAGTTATTAGTCGACGTTTACAATTTTGATGCAATCGTTTCTGTATATACTGCACTAAGGAAAGCTGATGGTTTTGGGCAATTCACAAGATACGTTTGACACAAAACCTTGCTACTGTTAGACTGACCTCCAGGGGCTCATCAAACACATTTAAAATGAAAACATGAATTTTGTAGATAATACTTCAGAGAGTGTAAAATGCACACATGCCATACACATGTTTTACAAAAATATCTAATTGGATGTATTATATTTTTCGAAGATTTGTTCTATCTACACTCCGTGGGTGACCGGAAACTTGTAAAATTAAAATGATATTCAGTGCAATTTGAGCATGTGTCTTTGTTTGTTAAACACCTAACAATTTTCAAATGTTTGTTCAGTATTCCACTGAGCCACACACATTTCAGGGCTTAGCTTCTTATGAAACCAAATGCAAAGGGCCATTTTCACTTTTAAAACAATTACTTACAATGTGTGGAATGTCTGCACAGGTTCAGCTAGCACACTATTTTATGAGTTGAACTTGTAAAACAGGACGTTCCTCTCAAAGGAGCTGCAACTGAGAGACTTTCTAAAAGACTGTTGGATTCCAAATCTCCAAAAGAAATCATTCTCTAAACATTACATGGTTACATGACAGATCTATTTTTCTTAACATTCAATACTAACTAAAAATTGAACCAAAATAAAGATATAAAATTGATAGAGCACTTAATAAAGTTTTATTTCAACAAAGCAATGTTTTTACACAATTCGTCTATTGGCAATTTTATTATAAATGAAAATTCTTACTAAATATCATGCACTCAGCAGCAACTAACTGGCGTGATAACCAGTCAAGTCCATCAATGAAGTCCTGTTCCACTCTGGGCATCACAAGCTTGAATATGCCAGCTACGACCCAACATAACTTATAGAGAGTAAACTGCTCCGTCAGTTCTTCGATAGTAGGCACAGCTGGGAATGTCCTTCAATAAAAGATGCGCACATTTTAAACAATTTAAAGAGAATAAATTTATTTATTTATTTAAAACATAAAATTAACTTTCATTCAGTTAAACTGACTGAAAGAAAACACCAATCACTTCACAATTTTGGGAGTTCATTAATACACCAAGGATCACACAAAATAATATTCTTGTTACCTGCTTATTGGCAAATATTAGCAAAGAAGCGTCCTTCAATTCCTTCTCTGACATTAATTTTGCCAGCTCACTATGGGCTTCTGGAAGACGCTCTCGATTACTGGAGTCGATAACAAATACAACTGCCTGAAGCACATTTGGAACATAAGAAATTTCTCTCTCCTGTAACCTTTACACAAATTTTAATTAAATAAAATTCATAATTCACCTGAGTATTGAGATAATAATGTTTCCATAATGGTCTCAATTTATGTTGACCACCAACATCCCATATAGTGAACTTGAGATTCTTGTACTCAACTGTTTCGACATTGAAACCAATGGTAGGAATCATGGTCATAAATTCATTTTGTTTTAATTTAAACAAAATACTAGTTTTACCAGCACCATCCAAACCTAATGTCACAACACGCATTTCAATTTTTGGACCAATATGGACACGATTATCCTGGGGGGAAAAAAAGAAGAAAAAGAAATCAGAATATTTTATAACTATCTACTTAGCTTCTTCAGTCTTCTCCCTACTGTTATCACTACAATGACTTATTAAATAACAAGAGATATACAATAAATTTGAATGTACAATGTAATATTTCGAACAAATGGCCCTCTCAGTGGTTAAAGATACAAAATTCCAATCAACCATACATTCGTAATTGTATTTTAAGCCAATAATACAGTACATATTACATTACACCACAGCACACCTCAATGCTTGAATCACAATACAAAATCTTGGCATGTTTCTTTCATCCAAATATTACGAGACACTGTCTGAAGAGTTCCCTTCACACTAATACAACTGCACATGAATTCCACTGGCAACTAATGCATTCATTTATTTAGGGAGGCCTAAATTCTTACTATATCATTAACACAATGGATAAATTCTGGCAGCGTGACTGACTCAAAGAGCCGAACACTTTTTAGATAGTTTATCACTGAATTGTAATGAAGGAAATGTATTATCATGGACACATCTATTAAAAACTCCACTTGTGATTTATTTCTTGTCATATGTTGTTTTTTATTTAAAACAAATCACTGACACTGCTTACTTTACTAATTTATATTAATTAATTCTTTGTTAAATATTTTCAGTTTTCCTTGAATCTTATTTGCTTTGACAAGTCAAAGAAGTTAACATAGTTTAAACCAATGACTATTTTCAAATTTAAAAAGTATTATAAATGTTCTCACATTACACAAGCCAGACTATATGTAAACTAGAGTGAACTGTTTGAAAAAGATCTGTCCATTGTCAAATATAAAAAGTGGAGTCAAATTTCTGGAAATGGATTCAAGAGTACAAATTCCTACATTTCAGGAATTGTTGCAAGCAACAACTCTCCATAATGGCACTGACTGAACATATTTTGGTGCCTCCAATAGCGCATACTTCTCTACAGTACATAAGCTGCCTGAAAAATCAATTTACAAGCAGCAGTTAACAAAACAATAAAAAGTGCTTTAAATCTTAAGATTTAAGAAAGTGTGATCAAGCTCTGTGTATTTAATTTGGTGCATATGCATTAGAATATACAGAAAAATCTGTCTAAACCAGAACCTGTACAAGCCGGAAACCTGCCTTTATCAGCAAATTTCTCCAGCCCATGGCATAAAACGGAATTTTTCATGACATGCAGGGGAGAAAACCTTCATAAAACGGAATTTCTGTGAATTTGGCAGAGAGGCGTGACATACTCTTAATGGAAACAATGCATCTGCAAATCTATATTAATATCTCTGTCCCTGTGTTACAAGCTTTAATCATGGCAGCCGGATACTGAATGAAAAAGGGCTTCAGCTGTTAGAGTAAAATTTGACCTTGAGGTCGCTTGTTGCTCAAGGTATAAAGCTATACGGGAATTCCTCTTTTCCCTGCTCTCCGAGCGTGGTAAGAGGGCTATATTGAAGCATTCAATGCATTCATGTGGGTGTTATTCACTTTACGCTTTTGACAATTGATGACCAGAAAAAAACATTGTGACTTATTGAAATTCCAGTAAGAAAAAGTGAAACTAGTTACACAAAAATACACTTTCGTGGATCTATTATTTTATAAACTTTTGTAAAATGTATATTAATGAATAAATGAATATGAACTTCAACTACTACTTCTACAATTTCAACTACTTATTCTTAACATTCTCATTTTAATTATAAATAGAATGAGTGCATTTGACTTCATATGCCACGAACCTGGATGCCGCAGTCATCCACATGCTGGATATTCGTATGAGAAAGATGATTTATTGCAATAAATTGCAAGTTAATTTAATGCATTGAATATATGCATATCCCATTCTGATTACACAATAATACAATAAAAGGTAGGGAATTTAGTGATTGATATTTTTTCTATTTAAACAAATGTTTGCGAACTTAAAAATTTTTTTAAGTTAAAAAGTACGAAAAATAAACAATATCACTTATTACATACTTAGTAAAGTATAATAAAAAGTAGTGTAATAATGTATAAAATGAAACTAGTTTGAATTCTTTAGCTTTTTTTAATAAAGGAGATACAAGCATTTATATATAACAGTACGCACACTACCTTGTAATTTTTAATTTCGAACAACTCTGGAGAGATACTACTTTTATGAAAATAAGAACACGTGAGAGTTATTTTTGCTATTAGAATGAATACACTAAGTTTAAAACAAATCAATAATAATATGATCAATTTTTCGTCAAATTCGTTTGACACGGAATGACTCATATCGCTCCTCCCTACAAAACTTACAATTGCAATTTATGAGAAATCAGAAATACGCACTTGTGTCACTGTTCTATTAAAGGTGCGATATGTTAATATATTTTTATAATTATAATAAAGTCATGTAATTTATTAGTTTCGGAACGGATAAATGAATATAACAAGTGACATAACACAGACAACACTGCATAAAATGGAAACCTTCCCATACCGGAATAATTTTTTGCCCCAATCGATTCTGGTTTAGACAGATTTTATTGTATTAGGTAAATTGTTGATAAAGGGACATTGGTCAATCTGAGGTCTATTAGGGGTTCAAGAATTTTCAATGGAATCTCAGGAAGATTTCACAGAAATGGGCAGTTTTAAGATAAACTTTTGCAGCAGATAGAGAGGTGAATACTAGGGGGTTGGAGTAACCTTGGTCGTAGTATATGATATCCAATGATTCAGCTGCAGGATTTCTTGGAAGGAGGGAACTGGCAATTTCACACTGTAGGAACCTATTAAAGTGCCACGGCTTTGTCTAGGAGAAGGCTCTCTATTATGAGGGTCATAAACTAGTGACGTGTTGCCTGCATCACCAGAGGTACCCACTAACGTTACGAGGGAAGATCAATGGTGACATGTCAGCTATTCATCTTATGAATGTTATTATGTTGTGTTAGGCTTTTGTTGAATGTAAAGCTCGAAAGTTGCGGCTTTTACACAAGGAGGATGGTGGTTCTCATGATAGAGACCTAGGCATTTATTACGGAAGTGATAAATCCTGCAGAAACTAGAAAATGAGGTGTATGTGCAACCTGTAACACACCTTATTGTCATACATAACGCAGGAATGATGTGTCTTAGGCCCTTAAATTTTTTTTGTTTCCTGTCCTCACAGGAATATGAGATATGTTTCTTAAGTTGTATATAAAATGAAATATTCTCCTATGGTCAGGTGCATATTTGTAGAATACAGTCTATAGTACAGGTTGGCAGAAACATTTAAGTTGGGTATCAGTAAAAAGATATTTTCAATTTTTACACAATTACCGATATATACCTATCTGAGCATTCTTATGTTTTATAGAGATTTACCTCTTCTCAGTTAACTCACTCACTCAAATGGGTGGTCAGTAACTAGTAATCTGGGTAAAATTAGACTGAAGAATCTTTCTTGGTAAAACTAAAGTGACTATTTGATATTCTCTGACATTAATCACAACACTTAGCAATAATTAAATGTTTCCTCACACCATACCAGGTGTATAATTCTGTATCACACAGTTCAAGGACTGACAGTTTGATATTGATTTCAACCATGAAATTATTTGCACTTTTATAACAATGATTTACAAAGAGTGAAATATTTGAATGGTTCCAGCTCATAAATAAATATTACTTTCTTATTAATTCATTGAACTCTATTTGAATTACAACTATTTTAAACGAATTATATTTGTTACAACCAACAGGTTATTACATAATGAAATACAACTAGTGGTGTCAAGTAGCAAAAAGTACTAAATTGGGCTATATTACAAATAGTAATAATTAATAAAACAATTTTTTGCTTTCTTTCTGATGGAACTATAGCCCAGATTGGTCCTTTAATTATAACTGTGATATTGCCATACTGCCACAGATTAATACTCATATAAAGTATGGAAGTTACATTAGATTACCAATATCCAATTACATTGTGTATCACAAACAATGCTACAGTTTTAATTTCTTAAATCATAAAATTTTAGTGTTCTATTAGATTGGGGCTGTGAAGGAGAATTCATACATTTGTAGATTTAGTTAATTCAGGGATTTCTACACCTTAGCATGGGTGGTCAGATACAAGTAGCAACTCAAAATTATGTAAAATTAAACTACAGAAATAGAGTAAGAAATAATTTACCATGATAAAATTAAAGAAAAGTGAATTTTAATCTCAGCACTTGGCAATATTATCTTATGCTCAATACATGATATGAAATGCGGTGGCAGGCAGTTCTGGTTTGAAATTAGGGCCAATATGAAGCTATTTTCACTTCTAAATAAATCGAATTTTATAGTTCCGCTGATATATGATAGAATGCTACATTTTGCACACTTTGAAATATAATATGAAAGATTTTTTGAGATTGAGATGTAACTTTGAGTAACACAGTGCAATTTGTGTCATAGGTAATGCTACAGTTTTTACACTTTAATACCAGATATTAATAATTACTGATTGGATTTAAGAATTTGCTCGCTAACTCAGTCATGTGCAATTACACTGAACACAACTAGAAATCTAGCTTCAACCACAGAATTGTACTTGCACATATTCCAGAATATACTTACGATGAACTAAGGGAAAAAATGAAAGTTTTATCTAGCAGCAGTCAAGTGAACTACTGCTGAAGGTACTGCTTGCATATTGATAGTGGGCTTAAAACTACACAAGTAAAGCTCTCATAGAATTTCTGATTCACCTCCATTCTTGACTTAACAATGAATTGAAAGAGCCATTTAGCTGGCTTTTAGGTGCTGTTTACTCAAAAGTCATATTACACTTTTATCTGTAATGTTTGTTTTTCATATTTTTAACTGGAAAATCAAAACTAAATACCAAGCAATAACAGTTAAATTCAGATATTAAAGATTTTCTCTACTCTCTTTTTAAAATTTACAGATAAAGACTAAAGGGGGGACTGATTGAGTTCAAAGGCACAGAAACCAGATTTCATAACAAAATTTCATGCCAAGATATCACAGTAAATTAAAGAAAAAAATCATTGGAAACACCTAGAAATTGAAAATTCATGCAAAATACAAATATTTTACCTTTAAAATCATTTGATAAGTGCAAATCACCAGAACACACACAATCCAAGTCTTATGGAAAAGAAATGAAGGAAAGTAAATTTGTTCCAAAATAAAAGCCAATTCAGAACAAAACATTGATGCATAAAATAAATGAAAAAGAACTCAAATAGAATATAAAAATACTCACTTTTGTAAATGTAATAGGAATGCATGGATCTGGTTGAAGTTGTTCAGGACTTAATTCTGTGTACTGCTGTTGCTGTTTCTCTATTGTGCTCAATGCCTCTTTAATTTCGCGAGAAAGCATTAAAACTCTTGCATCATCCTGCTGAATTGTTTGTTCACATTGTACACATACACCTGCAACCTGAAAACCAAGAAATACTTAAAAAAGTTGGTGAGGTGTTCTGAAAAAACTCTATAAATAGCAGTGAAATATTATTTTGAAGAGATATTTGAAATTTTTTTTTAACACCACATCAATCAATATTGTACATTGCATCACATCATTGTTTCCCTTTCAGGAAAACATACCTTACTCTTGTCAATTCCATTTTTGTCTTGTATAACTTCAGTGCTAAACTTGACCAATGATATCATTCTTATTCACATTTTCAAGAAAGGAAGACCCCTTTAAGCGAGTCATTATTGAACAATTAGCTCATCAGTCGAGCTAAACACTCAAGATCTTGGATAGTTAAACATGTTTTTAATGTTGCCCTGGCAAAATGAAGAATCACTCCAAATCAATATGGCTTTTTCCCAGGATATGAATCCTAAATACAAATCTACTTGTCTTCGGAATTGGATAGACGTATCCCATCTGACGTCAAACTTTCAAAGAATTCCCATTACCCATTACCCAAAATCCAAGGAGTCCGACATGCTGATATCACTGGTGCAGTGTGGCTAAGACCACTAAATCATGCTAATTTTTTGGTCACATACATTAGATGAAACAACCCAAAGCTTCTCCTAGTGTAAATTACTTCAACACGCAAGTTGAACCATGGAGTTTTAATTACAGATTATCTTGCATGGAAAACTTATGTATATCACAAAACTACTACAGATAATAAAGAGTATTTGTTTCATAAGGTCTTTAAAATCTTGACAAGTAAACTTTCATTTCCTTGTACACAAACTACATATGAAGGACTTGGGGCAATAGTGAGATAAACAAAACAAAGTCTCCTGCTGTTTGAAAATGATATCTCAATTTTGGCCAAAGTGTGTCTCCTCTTGTCACATTTTCCAAGACTTTCATAAAAGTGAACAAGACATATAGCAACACAACAAGCAACATTGTCATAAAAATCAAGACAAAATGGTGAGAGGCTTACTGCACAGCTGGTGTTGCTTATCTTGTTACAGCTTCAAGATTTTCAATTATTGATTTGGGTACAATTTGGGGTTTTTAGCTTGAGCTGCAGTTGAAAATAGTCAAAAAGTGAGTTTTGTTCTCCAAAAATAGTGAGTAGAGGGTAAAAAGTTACAACATCATTAATAACAAGAAATTAATACTTGAATATGCATGTTGAAAGAAGTACTTTATTTACCTGAATATAAGAAGATTTTTTTTCTCTTTTGAAAAATACAAGGTTGTCATACTCGCAGATTAAGCCTAGTTGCTTAGAATGAATATTTTTATGTCTCTCCATGCCATGAAGAGACTAGAATTCTGGAGAAAAAATGAGGTGCAAATGTGATTAATATCATCGTTATCTATTATACCTAATTATATTCACAGACGCATTATTGGCATCCACCGACAAGTTTGGTGTTGATTCAGACCAATGGTTTTGAATGGCCCAGTAATAAAAGAATTTCAAACAAAGTGCTATTTAGTTCATCAAACCATAACGAATAAGAATCATTTCTGAGATTTTCTTTCATGATCAACAAGGCCGCACAAACTACGTTCAACCACCGACGAGTGCAATCTGTGTTTTGCAAAAGATAGAAATGGAGAAGAAAAGATCTGCTTAATACGGTCACAACTAATTAATTGTAATACAACAGGAGGGAAAAGAATGACGATCTAATTAAAATCAGAGAACACCTTGAAATGTTTCTTGGTCATCCCTCAGATGGTTTAATATTTTAGTTTAGAGAAGGAAACTAAAAAGTCAGGAGAGGGAAAGTCCAGTACTTCATTTACAGATTCACTGGATTTTTAAAGTCAAGAGGGTTTTGCACAGAGAAAGATCTCATCCAGATAGCAGGTGAATTCAACCTACCTCGTGTTGAAAATTCTGCCACTATCAGGGCTAAAACCTAAGTACCTCCTGGTCAGAGCATCAATGCAGTGACTCAATTGAGCCACCTAAGCCGGAAGTTTGCAATGAAATTGAAAGGCAGTAAGATACCCCAGATTGAGAAGTTGAATACCTGGAGGCTGGAGCATCACCTGATTGGGGTTCAAAGGGCCCTTCAATAGCTACGGTCATTTGCGCCCATGTCATAATTTAAAACCATAATATAGATTATACAAAACAAAACACAAACAAGACTTGTTGAGGATGCAACTATCACATAGAATAAATGACATAAATAATTGAAAATAAAGTGCTAAACGTCACCTAAAAAATTCATTGAGCAGGAATGTTAAAAAATAAATAATTCAAAAAACTAGACAAGTTAGATACAGGAAAACAGTGTTGTTCTTTCCTCTCTAACCCAACGGTATAGACCATTTTCTCATAGAAAGGAAAAAAGGGTTGGGAGCATGGACTCTTATCAGAGCATCTCTCTTAGAGAGTTGTCTATTGTCTGCATTGGCTGCCTTTATTTTTTAACACAATGTTGAAGAACATGTTCCACAGACAGGTCTGTCTTACATGTGTCACAGATGAGGATTCACCTCGCACGAGGAAACTATGCAAAGTGTGCCAATGCAAAGACGCTTTACAGTTACTTCCACATGCCTATCAGCACGGGATGAGGAAGACCAGGACCATGAGGGTGAAATTGCATGAGGCATTCATGGGGTAAGATGGCAGATGTAAATATCTTGCAATAGATTTAAAAATCGAATACCAGGAGGCTGTAGAAGCAATGCTTGGAGAACTATGAAGAATAAAATCTCGGCATAGTTCAGGAGGATGGATGGGTGGAAATACCCTCAACTTTGATTACCAGAGTGGTGAACACTCTTACAAGGACTCAGAGTGGAGGGAGTTGCTGATCCATAAAAAATACTGCCATAATCCAGAACTGAGTGGACGAGTGCTCTTCACAACTGCAGAAGACAAACACAATCAGCTCAATAAAAATACCCACAAGGTATTTCTCAGCTTGTGAAGGAGATTTAGAGGGCAGACATATCTGGTTTGCAGACTGCAGATGTGGACACACCAAATAATGGTTTTATCAAATCCCAGCACAAGGAATATGGCAGATTCAGGGAGTAGGAGCTGATGGCCTCCAAGATGGAGATCTGGATTGTCATACAGGTGGTGTATCCTGCAGAAATGCACCAGTAGTTTTCACTCAACAATAGTAGAAGCCTGAGGAGGTGCTCCATTCATGCATATTATCAAGGACCAGTTGCAGTGGGGCAAAAGCCGGCAAAATCATCCACAAACAGCGATGCTTTTACAGGTTATCTCGAAACACAGCTTGTCACCAACCAATACACGTAAGGATCTATTTGAAAGAAAGTTTAGGAAGAATAGGGGGAGCTTCCCCCTCAATCCCCAAGAGTGCAAGTTTTGCAGAATGCTGTACCTGCAAGTGATGTCATAGGTCTTTTCGATATCAAATAGTATGGCCACAAGCTGTGGTCTCTAAACAAAAGACCTGTAAATTTCTGGTGTCAAAGCAACAAGATGGTCCAGTTGACCTGGGTTTTCTGAGCCTGCAATGGATTGGGATAAGCAAATTTTTGAATTCCAAATTCCACACCAAACACTATTCAGTTGGTATGGTGAAATTGGTTTACCTGTATTTAGTATAATCAGATTGGTGGTACCGATGCTCAATTCCAAAATGACGTCCCTCGGGCAGGTACAGGAAGGGGATGAAGGCGTTTACATCACCAACAATCACGAAGGGTGTGGCCAATTGGTTTATCAGGCCTAAGACGGTATTGGCTGGCACCATTTGTCCTGGAGGGATGTAAATATCACAAACAATAAGCATGAGGGATGGGAGGTGTAACTGCATAATCACTGTTTGAAGGTCTGTCGGAATTGGCAGCAGCAAATAAATGGCTCTTCTCTCAGAGATTGCTGTAAATATCATCCCCTCATAACGAGCTAAAAAGCTTGCAGAGAAGATTCGTCACTTCTAAGTTCCTGTGCTAGAGAGCTATCTCTTACTTTAGAACAGTGCAGGAGAACATGCTCCACGGTAAGATGTCTCGCAACTATTGCAAGGAGGGTTTGGGTTTTACATAGAGTTCCTGCAAGAGCTTGTAAAGACGGATACCCAGAGGGCAGAGTAACGATGGTCTGGTTCGTACGATGTCCTGTGACTTGGGTGAAGAAGCGCTTGGCGGTAAGGAGTATTTTTGGCACCACAGGAGCCGATTACAATACCTCGCCTTCGGCTCAAGGATGGTTCACCAGCCTCGGCCATCATTGTGCGTTCACTGCGACTCGTGCCATAGGCGCCTGTGCTGATCCGTCTACCGATCCGATTGTGTGTGGTATTCAATGAGCGGAGGGTGGATAGAGACTGTCCCATATACAATACCCCCATAATCTAAGATAGGACGGATGGCAATAGTCCTACATAGGAGAAAAATACATACTCTCCGGCCCAT